GGTGGGTTGCAGGCTCCTTGCAGGGGTCCCTGGAGCCCCTTGACCCTGGCCCCCCACAGGTGCAAGCAGGCACTATCCACCCAGCTGTAACCTCACTGCGGGCCAAGGCAACGGAAGCACAGGCCGGGGGCTTCCTGCTCATCCAGGCCCCCCGTGACCGCCCTGCTCGGCCTGGCACCACAGTATCCGTGGTGCTCAAGGACATCAGCCCTGTTGCCCCCTCCCACTTCTACTACCTGGTGAGTTTGGCACCCCCTTAAAGCTCCCAGGGGGCAGGGGAGGGGCTGCATCTGGTTGGGTGCCCTTTGCTGGGTCGCCCTAGAGCCCCTGCAGCCCCATCTGTGATGACAGGAGATTGCATCAGCAAGTGCTCAGGGTTTGGGGCGAGGAGGTCAATATTGGTCCAGCTCAGCACTCTCTAGGGGTGCTGAAGGGGGCTGGACACCTCCTGCTGCCCCCCACGCTTCCCAGCTTGGCTCCTTGCCCCCGGCAGATTGTCAGCCGTGGGGCTATCGTCTCGGCCCACTGGGTGACCCGCAGCTACTCCACAGTCATCTCGGTGCCCATCACCCACGCACTAGTCCCGGCCTTCCGCCTCGTGGCCTACTACCACCTGAATGGGCAGGTGGTGGCCAATGCCGTCTGGATCGATGTGGAGGACTCCTGTGAGGGCAAGGTACTGGCTAGGGGTGGGGGCCCCTGGGATGGGCTGGGGAGGTTGATAGTGGGCTAGGCTGGCCTGGCAGGGTGAGGGGTGGGCTATGGGGCCAGGGTGGCATGGGGATGACTGTGGGGCTTGGGGTTGGGTGGACCTGGTGGGGGGGCTGGGGTGGGGGGGTGCCATGAGGTGGGGGGCACCCCCTTGACCTCCCTGTCTTCCCTGCCCCAGCTGGAGCTTGGTGTGGCATCCCAGAGTGAGGCACTGCGGCCCCATGAGACCCTGGCCCTCTCCATCTCCACTGACACCCGTGCCTCAGTTTCCCTGGTGGATGCCGACTCGGCTGTCTATCTCTTGAACAGCCGCAACCGCCTCACATCTGCAAAGGTACCACCACCCCCTGTAACCCCAACCTTTGACTCCTGAGGGGGTGTGGATGCTGTCCAGCTTTAGCTTTGGCTTCTGATTGCTGACCTCAATGCGTGACCCATCTGTTGGGGTTAGGGGTTGGCTAGCTATTGGCCATTACTAGACGTGCACTGATACATCGAGCCAATATTGGATCGGTACTGATATAAAGCAAATTGGCTGTATCAGAAATCGGCCTGATGCGGTTGATAATTTGGCTGATGAATGCCATGTGTGCGCGCAGCCACAGCGCAGCACTCAGGCAGCCAGGAGCACAGCCCGGCAGTATGGAAAGCTGCCTCCGGCTGGGAAGTCCATTGTGGTGGCAGGGGAGGGGGGGAGGGAAGGGGTGTGTGGGTGGGGCAGATCAACACCCCCCACAGTGAAGGAGGGGGCAGGGGGAGGGGCAGGCACTGCCCAACTGGGATGGGGTGGGCACAGGACAGCCGTGGTTTTGAGGGGGACACCTCCTGCCGCTACTGCTTGCACCCTGGAGGGCATAGGGTGGGGGGTGTGTGCCCCCAGACCTATGTGGGGAGGGGTGGGAGGGATGCAGCTGTGGGCTGGAGCCGGGGATGTGCCAGGCTCTTCTCACCAGGGCTTGGGGAGGGGGCTACAGCCACCCCAGATTTCACCATAGCTCCCTCCCAGTGCTGCTGCTGCTGTGCGCCTGGCACAGCCCTGGCTGTACCCGGCATGTGGGGGGAAGCAGGGGTTGAGCCAGGAAGAGCCAGGGATGTGCCAGGTATGCAGCGGCGGCAGAGCTGGGAGGGAGCTATGGCGAAATCTGGGGTGACTGCAACCCTTTTCATAGCCCCTGCTCCAAGCCCAGCCCCCAGCGAGAAGAGCCTGGAGCAGCCATGGCTCCAGCCCGCAGCTCCAGCCCGCCTGCTCCACCCTGCCGAGATCTGGGGGCACATTGCCCCCCCACCACCTGTGCCCTCCCAGGTTGCAAGAAGTGGCGGGGGGGCCCCCCCCCCCGCCAATGAGTCGCAGCTCCGTTCTGTGCCCGCCCTACCCCAGCTGGGCAGCGCCTGCCCCTTCCCCTGCTCCTACCCCTTCCTTCACTGTGGGGCGGGGGTTTGATCTGCTCCACCAACACGCCTTCCTTCCCCCCTCCTCTTTCACCACAATGGACTTGCCAGCTGGAGGCAGATCTCCACACTATTTTGGAAATTGGATCGGTATTGGCCGATATGACTCCTTAAAAATTGGACATCGGTATCACCCCCCAAAATCGCTAGTGGTGCATCCCTAACCATGACCCATGACCCACCGTTTGACCCAGGATGGGTGACTCTTGATGAGTGGAGTTTGATATGATCTCCTAGCTCTGACTGGTGGGTGGTGGTATGCAGTGCCCAAGAGCCATCCAACCCATGGCTACTTCCTAGGGTCAGGATGTGACCTGTGACCCCTTGGGTTTGACCTCGAGGGGGTCATGGGGTTGAAGCTTCTGAATGGAAGGCCCCATCCCATGTCCTGGGGGGAAATTTGGGTTTTAGGGTTGAGGGAAGCTTGGAGGAGATGATAATGTCATCTTTTGTGTCCCTGCCCCCTCTCCATCCATCCCTCCTCCATCCCATCTCCCCACCCCCATCAAATGCTCCCCTGTCCGTCTCTCCATGCCTCCATTCACCCACTCCTCTGCCCATCCCCTCCAACATTCTGTCCATCTATCTGTTCATCTGTCCATGCATTCTTTCAACCCCTCAAACACTCCTACGTGTCTGTTCATCCTTCTGTTTCTCCATTCTTTCTCTCAAACTCTGTCTGACTCCATTCCTCCAACCAATCCCTCAAACGTTCCTTCTTTTTTTGTATTTATCCATCTGTTCACTCAATCCCTCCTCTGTCTGTTCATCCATCCATTCAACCTATCACCACTGCTATCTTCCTGTATGTCCATCCATCTACTTCCCTGTCCATCCCATCAAATGTTCTATCATTCTTCTTTGACTCCATCCATCCTTTCAAATACTAACATCCATCTGTCCACCTGTCCATCCACTCAACTACTCCATACCTCCCATCTTTTTGTCCATCCATCCATCCATACATCCACTCAACCCTGCAACTATTCCCACCTGTCTGTTTATCCATTTTTTCTTTTTCTTCCCTGCATTCCCTCAAACGCTGCATCCTTTCATCCATCCATCTTGTCTGACACAACATCTATCCATCCTTTTCTCCATCCACTCAACCTCTCAACACTCCCACCTCTATTCCATCCATCTCTCCATCCACCCCCCTGCCCCCTGGTTCAGGTGTTTGAGGCTCTGAATGGCCATGACCTGGGCTGCTCACCAGGGGGTGGAGCCAACACCCTGGGGGTCTTCACAGATGCTGGCCTGGCCCTGCGTGCTGGGGACCTGCACAGCACCATCCGGACGGGTGAGATTGGGCTGGGGAGTAGAGAAGGGGGTCCCCTGGGCTGATGGGAGCAGACCAAGGCAGCTGGGGAACACTTTGTGACTCCATGATGACCTTTGTTCCCAGGTCATGGGTGCAGCATGGATGCCCCCCGGAAGAAGCGCTCACTCGACTTCCAGAGGAAGCTGCAGGAGAAGGGTGAGTGCTGGGGAGAGGAGGGGACTTGAGGTCTGTCCACCTGTCTGTCCCTGCACTTGAATATCTGTCTATCCTCTCTCCACCCCCATGCGCAGCCACTCACCCATGCCTTCCTCTGTCCATGTGTCCTTCCATCTGTCCCCCAGCACAACCATTTGTCCATCTGTTTGTCCATCCATCCAAATTCTCAACCCTTCAGACACCCCCTGCCTTATTCTGTTTAGCCAGCTAGCCATCAGTCTGTCCATCCATCCATCCGCCCACCTATCTATCTTCATGTGCCCCCTCCATCCGTTCCCAAGCATAGCCATCCATCTGGGCATCCATCCATTCATCCCCAAGCACAGCTGTCCACCCATCCAACCATCTCTCCTTTTCTCCATCTCTAACTCTATCTGTCCAGCCATGCTCAGGCACAGCCAGACACCCATTCCTTTTTCCATCCATTCTATCCATTGCTTCCCTAAGCACAGCCATCTATCCATCTGTCCGTCCATGTACCCCATCCATCCATCCATGCCCAAGTACAGCCAGCTACCTATCCCTTCCTTCGTCTATCTCTTCCCAAGATAGCCATCTGTCCATGTACTCATTCATCCATCCATCCATCCTCAAGCACAGCTGTCTATCCACCCACTCAGTCATCTTTCTGTCCTTTCATCCATCTTTCCTTCCTTTCATCTGTCATTCCCTACATCCATCCTTCTATGCACACATACAGCCAACCACTCACTGCTTTCTTTGTCCATCCTTCTATCTATCCAGTGCCCAAGCACAGCTGTCTGTCCAGCTACTTACCTATCTGTCTGTCCAGCTGGTCACTCCTTCACTCCCTCCCTTCCTCCCTCCATCCATACCCAAGGACAGCCAACCATCCATCCCTTCCTTTGTCCATCCTTCCATCCATCTTTCTCAAGCACAACTGTCTGTCGGTCTTCTTGTCTGTCCTGGCATCTGTCCATCCATGCCCGAGTACAGCCAACCACCCATCTTTTTCTCTGTTTTTCCATCTGTTCATTCCTCCTGAAGGACAGCCATCTATCAACACATCTGTTCATTGGTCCATTGTTTTATCCATATCCAAACCCACCCATCCACGTGCCTACCCACCATCTTGTCTGTCTGTCCACCCCACCAGCTCTAACACTGCCCCCCTTCCCTCCAGCTGGGCGTTACCAGGGTGATGAGCGGCTGCAGCGGTGTTGCCGGGATGGACTGACAGCAGTACCCATGCGGCGCTCGTGCGAGGACCGGGCTGCCCGTATCCCCAGCTCTGCCACCCGCTGCCGCAGCGCCTTCCTTGACTGCTGCACCTTCGCCACCAACCTCCGGCGCCAGAATTGGCTCCGCCGTCCCCCTGGGCTGGCCCGTGGTATGATCCCCCGGATGCCTGGGTCCTGGAAAATGGGATGAGGAGGCCCGGACGCCTGGGTTCACACCTCGGGGAGAAGCCTGGATGCTTGAATCTGCACCCCTAGGGAGGGCAGCCCGGATGCCTGGGTTCTGACCCCAGGGAGGAGTTCTGGGAGCTTGGGTGTGAGGAGAAGGGCTGGGAGCCCGGATGTTGGGGTCAATCCCTACTCTGTGGGGTGGGAGCAGGGGGTCTGGGAGCCTGGATGCCTGGGTTCTCTGGGAGGGGAATGGGGGGTGGGGTTTGGGTAAGAGGTGACAAGGGTGTAACCCATATTTGAGGGGGGGGTCCTTCTCTCTGACCCTCCCTCCCCGCTCCCCTACCCCAGCCCAAGCCATGGAGGACGAGAATGAGTTCTTCGACGATGACTTTCTTCAGCCACGGAGCGTCTTCCCTGAGAGCTGGCTCTGGAAGACCCTCACTGTGGAGGGCACCAGCCGGTCAGAGGCCTGCCCCTCCCTGTGCCCCTTGGCCCCTCCCATGCCCCTTGCTCCACCCTGACCCTTCCCCCACTCCTGTCTTTGCCCCTAGGCAGAGCTTCCTGGTGCCCGACTCCATCACCACGTGGGAGATCCAGGCTGTCAGCATGTCGCCCCGCACCGGTGAGTGCCCTTCACTCCTGCCCTGCCCAGCCCTGCTGGTGTCCTTCACTCCTGACCCGCAGACCTCTGCCCCACCCAGCTCTGATGGTGCCCCTCACTCCGAAGCTGCAGCTCTCTGCTCCCCTCCTGGCCTTGCTGGTGCCCCTCACTCCTGACCTACAGCCTCCTGCCCTCTTGGCCCCCCATTCTCACACCCGTCCCCCTGCCCAGGACTGTGCGTCTCGTCCCCACTGCGTGTCCCGGTGACCCAGGACTTCCATGTCTCACTGCGGCTGCCCTACAGCGTGCGGCGCTTCGAGCAGCTGCAGATCACACCTGTGCTCTACAACCATGGGCCTGAGCCCCTTGATGTGAGACCCTCCTGCCCCCCTGAGTCCCCCACTGGACCCCTCCAGCCTGGTCTACAGGCCCCCCCTTCCCCATGTGATGTGGGGGGTGCACCAGGATTGTGCCTGACCCCTGTCCCCTGCCCCTTGCAGGTGCGAGTGCAGCTGGAACTGGAAGAGGGTATTTGTGCACCTTCAGGGGGTGGGCAGCAGCAGGTGCAGGTGCCAAGCCAGGGGGCGCTGGCTGTGCCCTTTTCCCTGGTGCCCTTGGGGGCAGCTGACATCCCCATCACTGTCAGTGCCCGTGGGCAGTTCGGTGTTGGCGACAGCATCACCCGCACCCTCCACGTTGAGGTGGGTCCTGACCACTGACCCTGCCCTGACCTCTTCCTCCTCACCTCGACTCCACCGTGATCTCTTCCTGACCCTGTGACCTCTGATTCCCCCATTTTTCCTGACCCTTGACCCTACCTTGATCCCTAAGCTCTTTGTGATCCCACCCTGACCTCTGACGTACAGTAATCCCTGACCTCTTCCTGACCCTACTCTGATCCCTAAGCTTCTCTTGATCTCGGACCTCTTCCTAAGCCTTGGCTCTGCCTGAATCCCTGACCTCTTATTGACTCCCCAACCCCATCTTGACTTCTTCATGGCCCCTGATGCCATTCTGACCACTTCTGAACCTGCATTGATGCCTGTCCCTTCCCTGATCCCTAAGCTTCCCCTGACCGTTGACCTTTGACCCTGCCCCCTGACCACTTCCTGCTCCCTGGCACCCCTCCCTCTGCTTCCACCCCGACTCCTTGCCCCGCTTCCCCCACTCTGGCCTATGACTTGCCTTTGTTCTGGTTCTTCTCCCTACGTCAGCCCTGACACTCTCCTCCTCCCCTCTCCTGCAGAGAGAAGGGGCCCCCTGCTTGGAGGAGATGACCTACTCACTGGACTCTGCTGGTGGGAGATGCCCCCCTGGGGGTGTGGTGTTTGGGCAGGGCCTATGGGGGTGCTGCCCAGCTTGAGGGGTCCTTTCAAGGACACCTGAGGTGGGGCAGGGTGGGATGGGGAGGTTGGATGGGGGCAGGGGCCTAGAGGGCTCAGGGGGTGGGTCTATTAGGTGAGGGGCAGTGGGGAGCCTGGTCTGGTCTCTGACCCCCACCCCCATCATGGCTCCCCCTAGATGGGCACTTACGCTCCCTGGAGATCCCGGGGCAAGTGCCATCCAACGTGCTGCCCGACGGGGACTTCAAGATGAGCGTCCGTGTCACAGGTAGGACCATGCATGCATCTGTCCATAGCTGTATCTGTCCATGTGTCTGGCCTGGCTGGTCTGTGAGTCCACCTGCGGCCTAGGCATCCATCCGTGGGTTGGCTGGGCCAGGTGTCTGTCTATGGCTTGGCTGGTCCTTCTGTCCCTTTGCTGGTCCACGTGTCTGTCTGTGGTCTGGCAGGTTTGTGTGACTGTCCACAACCTGACTGGCCTGTTTGGTGGCCCCGTCTGTCTGCATGTCTGTCTGTGGCTCCGCCCCCCCCCTCACGTGTCTGTCTGTGGTCTGGCAGGTTTGTGTGACTGTCCACAACCTGACTGGCCTGTTTGGTGGCCCCGTCTGTCTGCATGTCTGTCTGTGGCTCGGCCACTCCATGTGCCAGCGTGCTGGTCTGTGTGTCGGTCTGTGGTTCAGCAAGTCCACGCATCTGTCTGTGACTCAGCTGGTCTGTGTGTCCATCCATGGTCCTGCTAGTTCGTGTGTCTGTCCATGGCTCGACTAGTCTGTGTGTATCTGCTCATGGTCCACTTGGTCCATGAGTCTCTCTGTAGCTCAGCCAGTCTCTGTCTGTCTGTTAGTCTGTGCATGCTGGTCTGTGTGTCTATCTGTGGTTCAGCTGGTCTGTGTGTCTGTCCATGGCTCACTTAGTCCATATTTCATAGACATAGATTTCATAGACATCAGGGCTGGAAGGGACCTTGGAAGATCATCGAGTCCAGCCCTCTGCCCCAGGGGCAGGAAGTCAGCTGGGGTCATAGGATCCCAGCAAGATAAGCATCCAGTTTGCTCTTGAAGGTGTTCAGTGTGGGCGCTTGAACCACCTCCGGTGGCAGGCTGTTCCAGACCTTGGGGGCTCGGACAGTAAAGAAATTCTTTCTTATGAAGAATTCCTTATGTGTCTGTTGGTTTGTGTTTCTGCCCATGGCCTGGCTTAACCATGTTCTTGTGTCTGTCTGTTGGTTCATGTTTGTCTGTGGCTCTGCTGGTCCATGTTCCTGTGACCCGGCAGGTCCATGTGTTCATCCATGGCCCTGTCCATCCATGTGTCTATCGATGGCCAGGCCAGTCTGTGTGTCTGTCTGCTGGTCTGTGTATCCATTTGTGGCTCTACTGGTCCATCTGTTTTTGGCTTGGAAGGCCTGTGCTTCTGTCCACGGCCCATCTGGTCTGTATGTCTGTGGCCTGTATGTGTTCGTCTGTGCCTTGGCCAGTCCGCATGTCTGTCTGTTGGTCTGCGTATCTATCTGTGGTTTGGCTGGTCTGTGTGGCTGTCTGTGGCTCTGTTAGTCCGTTTATCTATGGCCTGGCAGGTCCATATGTCTCTCTGTGGCCTGGCTGGTTTATGTGTCTGTCCATGGTTCAGCCAGTCTGTGTGTGTGGCTGTAGCTCTTCTGGTCCGTGGCCTGGATGGTCTGTGACCTCCCCACCCCATCCCTGTTGCAGCGGATGAGGCAGGGGATGTGCTGGAGAGTGCACTGTCACCCGAGGGGCTGTCGCGGCTGCTGCGGGTGCCATATGGTTGTGCGGAGCAGACCATGTTCTTCATGGCACCGGGGCTCTATGCCATGCGCTACCTGGATGAGACAGAGCAGTGGGACCAACTTTCACCCGACCGCAAGGAGGAGGGGCTCCAGAACCTGCGCACTGGTCAGCACGGGCGGGAGAGAGGCCATGGGGCAGAGGGGCACAGGGGTGGAAGGGGGGTGGGGGGAAA